TTTCCACCGAACATTCTTGAAACTACAATTCTCTTCCTGGCCTATCTGTGAGAAAAACGCCCTCTCTTCCACATCCATTTCGGACTTGTTAGAAGGAGATTCTGGGACGAAGTTCCGTCAAAGACCATTGCGCGCATTTCAATTCTGCGAGCAGGATAAATTCTTTCATCGAAGCCAAAGATGGATATCCCAAAAGTAATCTACAAAGTCCTATACGGAAACTTTGTCTATTCGATGTAAACAAAAGCTTTTAACTTTATTGAGTTCTATCGAAGTTACGAAAGCTTTTGTGCATCACATCTCATGTGGACCACCCTCTAGTTACAAAGGGAACGCGAATGTTACGAGGCCTATAATGATAGGTAATATTTCAAGAAATTGCATGACAGAAATGTGGTAAGAAATATTTGAAGCAGTTTAGATATTTCCTCATCTTCATTAGTAGTGTAACTTCAAATTAAGTTCATCAAATCAATCGCTTCATCACAATAATCTTAACACTTTGAAATGTGAAAAGCTACCGCGGAAGATATGAGCAGTTTGCGCAAGTCTGTAGCGAACTGCGGTTTTGATCAAATGCCATGATAGAGTCGGTTCCCTCGACAGCATAATCTCAATACAAGAACTCCGGAACAACGAATCGATAAGCTGTGTCTACAGTCGAGTAGATTCCTTGTTTAATATAGTGCTTCTGCAAGTGCGACAACGCTTGTGCGTCAATAATTGCCAATGAGAGTTGAAGCGAATGTTTTCTATGTGTTCATTGCTTATTCTTTGCCTTTTAGGCAGTCATCATTACTAGAAGAGAAAAAGGTAATTGACAAATTAGATTCTGCTTCTTAGATGGCTAAATCATTGTTTAGACTTTTAGGTATGACTTATCGTTTGTATCACGCGATTAGGTTGAATCGAAGTTGCTGCAGAGCATACTATTTGAAGAAATGCTTCACAAAAAGGAAGAGGCAAGAAGTGACAAAAACATAAATGAAAGTGACGCGACGTGGCTTTCAGGTAGATAGCTGAGAATTAAGCGATTAACTATTTAGAAAACAGAAACTACTCGTTAACTTATCTTTTCTCCTCTATCAGTGATGAGTTATATAAATAGCAGCGAACAAGCAAAGAAACAGAAACACCAAAAACACTCGTTCGGAAACTCGCAATGCCAATTGTTGACGGACAAGAGTTGTCGTTGTCTGCAGGGACACTATATTCAACAAGAAACCTACGCGGCTGTAAGTGCGCGTATTCGAGAAACGAAAAAAATGTAAATTTTTGCGCCCAGGCTTGATGATCAAAGTTGTCGAATGTCTTAGTGAAAACAGTCAAATATATTGTGTTCAAATGCGAATCCAGTTTATGAGCCAGCCATCTTTACCACCATTACCGCCGTTTACCTGTCGTATTTGCTGCTGTTGTTGGTACGGCTGGTGTCAAATAACTCTAGTAATCGACTTTGTATCAATTCCTTACATAAGTGTGTTAACTGCTGCGCTCTTTTCCACTATTTATGTACAAAACATTTCATTGGTTATCACTTAAGGAGATCGCATGAGCAAAAAATGTTTGTACTATGGTTGTCCATTCAGAGCAGAAGCAAATGACTGCAATGGCAGTGGGGCAACAAAGAATAATATATTAGGTTGTCCGGAATTTAATGTCCGTTTTGAATTTCAACCGCAATAAGTCATACATTTTTCATTCCTGAATAGGATTCAAGATACCATTCGATAAAGCAAAGCAAGCTCTACAAGATGACAGTCTTGCTTTAGCATCAGCTCTAATCCACCTCGAGTTTCGAGCCAAAAACTAAAAAGATCCAACTGCCTGAAAAATCGAGAAAAATCATAACTCAATTCAAAAAAATCCCACAAAAATTCTAACTTGCTCACGTAAACACTGTCCACATAAGACACATATGTACGCCATCGCCGTATTTTTTCCTCTGTTAGAAATCAAGAAAACGAAAATTTCCATGCTTTTGCCAAAGTGATGCTGTGCCGTCTCCACATAGGTAGCTGTATACTACAAGTCTGTTGAAGTACAGACTTAAATTTTCAGCTCTCTACAAGCTTTAGTTCTCGAGAAATATCGAATATAGCTTTCATTAGTCAGGTGGTCCAAGCTAAAATTCAAATTTCTCGAGAACTAAAGCTTGTAGAGAGCTGGAAATTTACGATTGCAATTCTACAGATTTGTAGTACACATCTACTTATGTAGGGACGACACAGCATCACTTTGGCAAAAGCATGAAAATTTTCGTTTTCTTGATTTCTAACAGAGGAAAAAATACGGCAATGGCGTACATATGTGTCTTATGTGGATGGTGTTTACGTGAGCAAGTTAGAATTTTTCTAGGTCTCTTATGAATTGAGTTATGCTTTTTCTCGATTTTTCAGGCAGTTGGGTCTTTTTGGTTTTTGGTTCGAAACTCGAGGTGGATTAGAGCTGATGCTAAAGCAAGACAGCCATCTTGTAGAGCTTGCTTTGCTCTATCGAATGGTATCTTGAATCCTATTCAGGAATGAAAAATATATGACTTATTGCGGTTGAAATTCAAAACGGACATTAATTTCCGGACAACCTAATAACAGAAAGGTCGAGCATCTTCCTTCAGAGGTTGTAATAAATTTCCAGAAGACTTATTCATCAGGCTCTCGTTCCTTCAAAGATCACATGCGCTAAACTGTCAATAACAATCAGATCTTATTGTTTATGTCTTCGTTTTGAAAGCGAAGCATATATTGATATTTGCTAATCAATTTTACTTGGTTTGTATTATGTAAGTATTCATTAGGATTGGAACACACTTTTCCAGGAAGAGACAACGTTTTTTTCTTTGGTCTAGTTTCAAGACATATGAGTCTTGTTCTGTAAAATACTGTTTTCCATAGTATTCCTCACCCTACTAGACATCCGTGGACAGATTAAATTGAACTGGAGCAGGCCTGTTGCACTAGAACGCTGCATTCTCAGCCACCAATTTGAGCTCGTTCATCAGCTTGCTCTTCCTTTTTTGTTCTTTGTTGCAGGCTGATTTCCATGTGCCAACAATGTTCGTTATTGGAATTACACTTCGCTGTTGTGAAAGTAATGTTTCAAATTGTATGCACCTTCTCGAGCTCTGTTTTCAAGTGAGCGGTTCAATCAAAAATTTTTGTTCGTAACCTTTCGATAACTTACATATGCTGAAACGTACTTGACTCTGACATCACGAATTTCCCACAGCATCGTTTCCATAAGCTCACTTAAAATCAGAACCACATACACGAGGCCCATGGTATGAGAGGTCACTAAAAATTGACAGAACCATAAATTGTAGTTATGAACATTGTTAGTGCACAGAATTAACAAACAAAGAACGAAACAAAGGAAGAACATGTGCAAGCTTGATAAGGGCAGTGAGTCACGCTTTAGCGCAATCGGCCGGCTCTAGTCCATATTCGAATTTGTCCATCAAATTTCTAGTGGGGTGAGGACGACTATATTAGCAACACTTGGAGAAAACTAAGGCATGCGCTATACCGCTTAATCCTTTTGATCCACTTCATCCACTTCGACATTGGCCAGTCAATGATTTGACCAATAGCGAAGTGGATGAATGGTTAAGGCGGATAAAGTGGATCACCCATGGCTTGTGCCTCAGGCGGGATTTTGTGTCATCAGATATACAGTTCGAAACGAGCGGTATCCTAAAAGTGACTCCTGACATCTCACTTTCCGTTTCGGCAGATGAGCGAATAATCAGAACTACTTTACATGATACCTGTCTCAAAGCGCTTTTAATATCGGAATCAACTTCGAAGCAGATGTATGGAAGTAGTCTTTCAGGCACATGTAGCACAGTCAGGTGTTTCCTTTTTCCAACAAAAGCGTTGAACATAAATTAAAAGAGTTGATGAAGGTTATCAAACAGCATGGTATGTAGCAACATGGAAGCAGTTCAATTAGCCGATAGTGAAATTAGAAGGCACTGTTCTTTTGCATTCATTAATCCTTCAGTTTTGGCTTAAACGCGACGACGTAATTTGTATTGCGCATGAACTTTGGATAATGAACATGACGCTACTTATGCCCTGTCTCCCCTCTCCTTCCTTCCCCCCCCCGAAACCTGGAAGCCTCACATGCTTATTGTCAAATTTATGCAAACACTTATATGATCTCGCTTTTTCGTGCTATCTAAAAAAGTAATTAGCCGGAAATAGCAAATCAAACCTTCGCTCCTTTTGAGTCTCTCCTACCATTGCCTAAAGTAAAAAGCTGAAAGTTTTTGTCTGCATGTCTAGCTTTGTGTCTGCTCCGAAAAAAAAAATTCATTTTTGAAGCGTTCCGGACCAAACTTGGCACGCATACACTTCGGGGCGGGGCCGCTGTTGTAGGCTATTTCTCGTTATCGATCATTATCGATTTCATCGAATTTTTGCAAAGTTTGAGCTACGGGGCTGGGTGTTGGCCAGGGTGAGGGGTAAGTAAGCATGCTGATTGCGAATATGTTATTGACAAGGCCAGGCAGAACCGAGTTTGCCAGCCAGTTTCCTATATAATATCAACTTTTGATATATTTTCTGAAGCAGTGGCTAGAATAGGTCGCGAAATATCTGAAATTTATTTACGGGGATTATAAAGCTAACTGCAAGTGACTTGTTCATTCTTGTAAACAATTCAAATAATTTTCAAAATTTTATAAAAATCAATCCAGTCTTGTAAGAAAATTTTTGGGGGCGTGACTGCCACTCTTCTTAGATTTTAGGGGTTATGGGCCTGCAGAAATTTTGATAAGCACCCCGAAAAATTTTTCGGAGGCTGACGCCACGCACATTTGAAAGTTCTTGCCCCCCCCCCCTACTCCAACGAAAATCCTGCGACACTGCTCTTAATGCAGCCCTATTCTTAAAACTCATTTCCAGCAAGCTTTAGTGCAAAGAGGTCATCGTTTTGTGTCAACCTGGAACTTCGACTGCTCAATAGTTGCATGAAAGCATTGAAAAGATTATTTCAAGATGGCCAGAAATAACCATTTTGAAAGACTACTTCGAGCCTTGGCTACCAAAACACGCTTAATTATCGCAAGGTACGGTTTCCAACGCGTGCAGAAGGGCATGTTTGTACAAATTTTGAGGTTTTTTCAGATTCGACTATATGGGGAGATTTCGATATCGACGTAATCATACACTACTGATAACCGCCGCCGTTACAATCCTGTTGCTTTACAAATTTTTTATACAGGAAAAGACAGAAAGTATGCAGAGTTTCTTGTTGACATACAGAACAATATGTGTTTCCAGCGAATGAAAATATAGTGTTGGAAATTAATTATGTAGAAAAGAGACTCATCGGGAAAATAAGTGCCGAACCAATACCTCATCGATCAAAACCTTCCGCAAGGATGATTGAATTCTACAAAGCTCAGGTTTGCCTCTTGGGCTAGTACACAAATCTATATTATATGTGACATTTTAGGTGCCTCAACGACGTGCTTACTTGGAAGCAACTTACAAGTACCAACCGGAAACCTACACTTATATATACAATAATCTAGCTCCAGAGGTGATTCTAGAAAAAAATAAAAAGTCGAAATGCGTGCATGCCTTGAAACAAGAGTTTGGTTCAAAATGGAGTCGTAACGGAAAACTGAAGTTACCTTCAATTTTGATTTCCTGCTTCAACAACTGAATGGTACTTATTTATATAAGCAACCACCATCCCATAACTCGATCCACCTATCGCCACTCATTATCATGGATCACGGTGAACCTTCGTGGACTTCCGCGCTTAAAGGCAGCGTCCACCCAGAATTTGCCCCCCTCCCATGTTTTCGCCATTCTGGGGCCTTTTCTGGCCCTGATTACAGTTCCGAACTTCAAACTCTCCAAAATTCACAAAAAACCTTTAAACTTCCAGGCGCCTTATCTCCATTCAGGGACAACGTTAGAAGACCGGGCCAACGCAGATGCCCCTTTTTTGGGGCATACATTCAGGATCGACACTAATCGGAGGAAGTTAGGTTTAGCCTGGACACTGCCTTTAAACCAAATTCTGTCTCGATTCATCATACAACGACAACTGTAAGATGAAGCTGTATACCATGAGAATAAGCATGCAGTATTTGTCGCATCATGTGCTATCATCCAATATCGCGAAAGATTGAACACGAAATAGAATCGAATAAAGCTTTTTCAGATTAGAATAAGCTTTAATAGTCCAAAATTTGCACCTAATTAGTTTTACTTGAAGTTTAAAGCTAAGATTCATTGCACTAACTGCAACATCAAAGTCGTATTTCTGTACAAAAAAATCCTAGTGATCCTCAATTCGCTCATGCATGTGCGCTGTACATCACACAGAAGTTCAATGGTTAAAAATTGAGAAAACTTGATTTGGCTGCTTAAGCAATCCAATTATTCCGGATAGAATGTTTTATGGTATGAATTACCGGAATACCCACGGTTTTTCGGCTTTCTAAAGCTAGTCTACGAGAGATTTCAAATTAGCACAAAAACGGAATAACGATATCTGTTTTAAGACTAATTTTGTTTTTACTCTCCATGGATATATCGGAGTTATTCACAATGAGTGTAAGTTTTAGTTTTATATGTGCCAACTTCAAATTAATGAAACTCTTTCGACATTTTCTTCTTGGTCGCAGTAAAGACGGCTATGAAGAGCAAACCTTCATCAAATGCTTTTGTATATCTTCATTTAAAATAAGAAAATTTTTCCAGCTTATAGATCGCTAACAAAACTTTTTTGAATACGTCTTATCTGAAAAACGATAACTTATCAATGTAGTAGGATAGCGCGCACTCTTCTCGTTGTGTGGTCAATGGTCTAATAAGTGCAAGGGTGCTAAATCATATTTTACGGAGTATTTTTTTCAAAAAACATCGCAGAATTGGCAAGTAACAAATTTATTGGGAATCTCGGCATGTTCAAAAAATCAACTTTTTTGACATCTTCGTTTTTTTTCCACCGGAAAAAGAGAGAGAGCTACTGTTTTCATGTTATCAAAATCTCTTTCGCTGTATAGTGCGGAGTGTTTGCAATCGATTTTTGCGAATATTTTTGCTGGACAAAAGACCAGCGACCGCTCAAGTAAGCACTAAAATTTCTCACAATTAGTTCAAAATTTTAAACCAAGGGAGTTTGTAGCACAAAGCCTTGCAATCCTTGTGTACATATTTCGGAATAAATCTGGTTTGTTTTTGTAGATATAGGAGAGCGAAAGAAAATAATTTTGAGATTTAGCCTCTTCTGTTTGAAAGCTCAAAAATTCAGAATGAGCAAAGATTTATGAAAGCGAAGGCGCGTATAAGGAGCTAGAAAAAATGCTCTTTTAGACATTATAAGAGGTCTTTGATATAACTTATTTCTCTGAAATCAGCGCTTGGAGGTGTGTAACAACCGGCTGGTTGTCTTATGTGGAGAGCAATGTAAGCAAGTTGCAGGCTCGTGGGAATCATATAGACATGTGAAATCTTTTATTTTGACTTCAACTCCACGTATATCGGAGTTTATGTGAAATTTTGGGGATTGTAGAGCTTATTTTGCTCTACTAAATGGTGCCTCTTCATTTTTTCCGTGTTCACCAGTGCCGCGGTGCATTCATAGTAGCACTATTTTGCAAACAAACTGTTGAAATTCTACAACAAAAATTTTCAAGGTACATGAAGTTTTTCTCAAAAAATAGCTAAACTGCATTGTCTTACTCGTGATCTTACAGTGAGCAAGAGGGAATGGGAACACTCAATGCCCAAGTTAGAGACAGCTTTTTGAATCAATCACCTTAAAAGAATTCAAGATAGAACTCGTTCAATGTCAGACAACACTTTTTCAAACTCTTGTATAGCTCAAAAAATCCTTCATTTTCAAAAAGCAATGAATTCGCAAAGCAAAAACGAGTAAACGAGAAGATTGCATCTGTGCAGCTTTTGCTATTCTTTCTAGGGACAAATCTTTTTTTTTCAACAGTTTGCTCACAGCAACCCTCTATAAAAGGATTCAATTCATGCTTGTGGTTAACGAAGGCAAACACAAAACATAAATTTTTCCATTATCCTAAGAACCTATGTAGCAAGTTTAACAAATCACTGTCTTTTTCAATTTCATAAGCAGCAAAAAAACTTGCCTGAAGATATTAAATCACCTATTGTTTGCCAGTTTTGACAATTTAAAGAAAATTTTGCGTTGATTTCACAAAAACGCATTCGGCTGGTGGAAATTGTAGTTTTGCGCTGTAAGGCTTACCGCATCGTTTAATATGTCATGTCGTTTAACGAAGAGTAAATCTCAGCCATTCAAACGGAATCAGTGATGTTATCAAATTGTAGGTATTCTGTCCGGAACTAATCCGCGTTGGAACTACACATGATGGTGGAAAATGGATCTGCAGTCCATTTCGGTAAGTCCCACCTTATGACAAGCTGGCATATCCTCGATGCTATAGCCATGTACTCCGGTAACTTTCACTTTGAGTAACATGAAAGAATACAGCTTTCATCCGCATAAAAGAGAAATCATTCGGCGAGATCATAACTATATTTGAATGAATGTGAATGAAACAAGTATAGTGGGTAGTATCTCAAATATCGGGGGGGGGGGGAATAAGAATTTAAAAACGCACTGATAACGAGATTGGCTTTGACGTGCGCTTCGACTTAGAAAAATCAAACCTTTGCGTTCTCATAACTAATGTTTTCTTGTTTATCTTCTTTTTGATAATCACTTCTTCCAAAATATGGTCATTTTTGAACCAATTACGAAAAAGAAATTAACTTTTCCTCATCATTGTTTTGGGTTGCCTGATCCTGGAGCGAAAACCTACGATTAAAAGTGCCGACAAATGAAAGATTTTGAGCTCAGTAAGTTTTTGTCCGATTTTTGAGTTTTTTTTTTGCTTTTGCCTTCTGCTTGCATCTTTTTTTCTTCTTTGATTTTCTATAAACAATCTTCACTTTTTGTAAGATGCACATATTTTAACAACTTCACTTTTGACGCCTTATCTCTAGACTATCGAAGGTATGCGGTTAAAATGGGATTGAGCATTTGCGCTTCTTCCAAAAGCCAACGCGCTGACAATCTCAAATGGCAATTTTTGAAAGATTGATTTTTTGAGCGCATCATCATGTTGACTGTTTGATTCCAGCTGGATGAACAAGATTGGTAGGAAAATTCATAAAACGTACATATCTTTTGGAAAACGAGAACGCAGTCAGAATCACAAGACTTTGATAACCACCTTGACAGATGAGAATCTTATTGTTAGTAAGTTGCAGGCCCCTTATCCCAAAAGCTGTAATGCCAACTTTTATGCGCTAACTGCTTTCGAAATATTCACAGAAAGTACCTTAAAATGTAACTAACGTAAAAGCTCGTTTATCTGTTTGTAGTGCTATTTTTCAATATAATGAGTTACACTTACACAGTCTTCTAGGATTCCCGATGGTTGCACTATAATTTCACTCGGTCTTTACAATGAGATTACATTTGAACGAGAACTACAGCACATCATTGACAAGCGCTGCAACATCTTCGCTTACGACAGTGTAAGGCAACATGTTCTTGAACATATAAAAGCAAAGATTTTCAGAATGATCAAGAAGTAAGCACTATTGTTCTACTTGACAGCATCCGCACAAAGGCAAGTAAAGCTACCATTGCGGCAGAATCAAACCCGTCAAAAAATGAGTACACTCTGGCGGAGCTTTTGCAAGGAGAGAAGGTGAAGGACATCGAGATTCTCAAATGCGACATCGAAGGTTGGCGAGGCTCTATTTTTATGAAACCACTCAAAATTCATAAATGTCTATTCAAGGTAGTGAATTGACTGTACTTCCTGATTTCTTGGAACAGCATAAGCCTGCACAGGTTAGTTGATTGTTGTTGAGAAGGCCATTGATCCTCCTGATTTTTCCAACAAAAAAGTGGATAATAAACCTCACTGAATTTTTTGCAGAATCTTATCAGAAATAATGCTGAAACACAAGTTTTCATTCAAAAATCACCATTAACATTCCCCACACAAGTTCATTGCTTTCATGCAAATCCGAAACGATTGTGCTTACAAAACTCAATGTTCTATATACTCGACATCTGTTTAAATCAATTGCACTATTTGATTTCCAAAACTGCTGTTTGAGGTCAGATCGTGAAATTCTTGAGCAGTGCTCTGAAATCAGTACTATTCAATCTTGTACTTCCCATCAGGCTCGGCATGAGGTGGCTTTTTCAATTTTTCAGAAACGAAGTCCCTGTAGACTTCGGCACAAAAGTACGACATCACCTCGATTGTGAATGGATCAAAACGAATAACTGAAATAATAAAACAAAACATGAAAGCAACATCAAACAAACGAGAAAAAACAAAGGATGTTTGTATTCTCCAAATTGGTGGCATGCTGTGTCCAGCGACCCTTGCGCGCTTGGAGCGTGCTTGCCGCCGTCATACAAAATTTGGATTGTTGTAACAGGCGAGGAAGAGGCGGTTTGGGAGATTCAAAGACTTAGTATAAGGTGATGTTAGAACGAGGCTGTATTAAGAATGTGTAAAAAAACATGTGAAGAAAGGAAAATATGTGACTTTTTCTTTTCACAGTCACATGCCACATCAGGTGGCTGTCCAGGTGGCTGGAGAGTCACTTAACTCCAAAAAAAGTTTGGTACGCCTCCAGTTCACATAATTTTTTCACAATTTTTCGCACGCACTAACTCCCTATTGCCCACCTACACACCAATTTTGGTATATTTCGTTTTCTCTTCGCTGTAAACAGGTCTTTTGTTTATTTCGGAGAAGGCCTGAGATCGCGCGCTTAACCGGCGAACAAGTTGAAACAGGAAATTTCTAATTTTGCAGTTTGATAGAACAGAAATGACTTGCGTCTTCTGTAGAAGACGGGTGATATAAAGGCAGGAGGCGATCATGTGGGAGGAGGGAAGGGGGGAGGGGAAAGGGGGAGGCTGGGGTTTTCGCTTCAACGATAGCACCCTTACCTTTTATCCCAAAAACGAATCCAGCTTGCCCTGTAAGCCACCTGTGCCGATCCCTGCTTCCTATTCATAGTGTTACTCACAATTTTGTATTACGTGATTTTGTCAATGATGACTGCCAAAGGCTGTAGTAAATCGAAAGACCTATTTGATGCTGCAAAATGCAATTTTTCCCAATTAGGTGAGAAATTGCAAAAGTTGAAGACTTCTCAAGCTACAATTGCAGATTTTGATCGAAATCCACGGCACACCTACGCAAGTAGTCGCTTTGCTGAGCCTTATCTCGCGTCATGGTTATTGGCTGTTTTCACACGAAATCAACGGCGCCTGGCACAATCTTTGTGAATTTTCATTCATACATGAGAAAGCTTTTCTACAATATGGAGCAATTCCAATGGCAAAATATCTGGATGTGCCTACGAAACCGCATGACACTGAAAGCGAAATATCAAAAAAGAGTTTTTGGTAAGGAGGCAGAAGGTGACGCTATAGAGAAACGAAAAATAGGAAACCCTTTTCCCTTTATTTTTTCCATCTTCTCGCCAATTTGTTTTTCTCGTTCATATTTTCGTGATGACTATTGCTTGTATGTATTCTTTGCTAGATTACACATTACTAAACAATCAGAAATGCGATAATTCCAATCTGTATTAATAGGGATGATTCTGCATTTCTGCTACATTATGTCCTCTCATCAATTGCACGTCATATATGTGCAGTAGGAAATATTGTGTTTAACCTTCCGCAACAGTTGTATACTTTGACATCCAGAAAGTTGTTGTGCAAAGCTCCTGGTCAAGACGAGTTACAAGGCCTCTCAAAATCTCAATTTTTGGCTGCAACCTTTTTCGGCTCAATACGCCTTAGCATGTGTATTTTTCCTCCTCTGTAAGATACTGAAAGACTTATTGAGTGCTACATTCACATTAATTCGTAAACTCAATGATAACTCCAGGACACGACAGATGTATTGAACCCAACCGTCCGGGGGGTGATCAGCATGCTTGATTACCCCCCTGTGCCAAATCCCAGCCCCGTAGCTCAAACTTTGCAAAAAAATCGATAAAATCGATGAAAGTAATGCACGATTTTAAAAACTAATATTGTATTCGGAATCCCCATGCTCACTTACCCCCCTGTGCCAACTCCCAGCCCCGTAGCTCAAATTTTGCAAAAAATCGATAAAATCGATATCGATCGATACGAAAAGTAGCCTGTGACACCCGCCGGGGCCCGAAGTGTATGTGTGCCAAGTTTGGCCCCGATCGGTTCAGAAATGGAATTTTCTATTCGGAACATACGTACACACAGACAGACATACAGACAGACAGACAGACAGACATACATACATACAAACAGACATTCAGCTTTATATATAAGATACATACTGACTTCCAAAAATGTTAATCATGAAGATGGAATATAAATGACATGCTCACATGCTCCTTCTCGCCAATTTCAGAATTATATTCGAGTAAATTTCGATTTGTGGGCTGGGTTCTTACTAATCCGGAAGCTACCAGTCTTACAAGGGAAGGATACCAACATTAGTCGACGATTTAAGGTGAGATGTATATCAGTAGACGCGCCTTTGTACGCTGATTCCAATTCTGCTTTCCTTTTTTGCGGAGTAAGTTTCCGAAAGAAGTTGTGGACGTTCAAATGTCCAAATTTGTCAAAGTCTGTGTGGCCTAAAATTGGCGAAAAGTGTACAAAAACACCGGGAAGTGAAAAATCATTTTTATATAGAGTATACTGTCTGCAAGGAAGGAATAAAACCGGTAGAAATTGCATAGGTGTTGTTTTAGAGCTCTTTGCTGATTCTAAGCCACTCAGTGCTTAGCAAATCTGGCCATTCAAACGCTCATAACTTCTTTCGGAAACCTATTCCGCAAAAAAGGAAAGCAGATTTGGAATCAGCGTTTAAAGACGCATTCAATGATAAACATCTCATCTTCAATTGCCAACTAATGTTGGTATCCTCCCCTTGTTAGTCGTACCGATCCGATGAAATACCACCGAGATCCAGGCTCTTAAAAAACAAGTAAAAACCTCTTTTCAGATTCCAACACCTCATAGCCTCTTCAGAATTGCATGAATCATGTGAGACTTCATAGATTAGATTTGTCATGATATATACTATATATGGGGGTTCCGCGCCTCTCGCGGCACATGCCCGGGGTTACCTGCTTTTTCAAGAGCCTGAATTTCGGCGGTTTAATGGATCGGTACGGCTAAGACATATTCTGGTAGGGCAAACCTCTACTCTAAAAAGCTTTTGAAGCCGCAACATCGCACACATTCACATTTAGATTTATAGGAGTCTAAATGTCAGCGCCGTCACTAAGCAACCTAAAATCGCGTAATTTTTCAAAATTCTCGTTTTCGGCGGCCACTGTTCAAATCGACCTGTTTTTTTCACTATCTGGTAGAAGAGCACTTACCCTTTGAAACCTATAAAGTTGCAGTTGCTGTCATCTTTAACCACCATTTATAGCAGTGTACATGATTTTGTGCTTTTTACTATACGAAATTTTGATTGTTGGCGGTTATTGCTTGGATCTACTTCCTTCGCAGTACGTTATAACAAAATTTACTCAGTGAAATGCGTAATGTCTAGCTGAGTTTTACTTACAAATACACCATTTGATGAACGTTTATTTCAAATATTTGTGCCGTTGTACTCACCGTATTTGTGGCCCTAAAGAGGACCGTTGGGTTAGACCTCTTGAATTATCCGAAGTCATCATGAAGCTTTGCTTTCCGATCTCTGGGAAGTGCCGAGGAACCGCTTCCATGGCAAGTGATATGATTTTCGCGTGCTTGCGGTAGGTGACTGCCAGCAAACAGCTCAGTGCGCATGTTGCGATCAATGGCAGTAAACGCCGGACCCATCCCAGTGACGAATCAGCAACAGGAATATAATTGCGGAAATTGCGACGATCATCAGCCCAAGAACAAATCCGAAATATACAATATCTAAACAATTTTTATTCGTAAAAAATCAGATAATTGAATACTAGACTTACATGTTTTACGGCACACTACAACCGGCCCAGTTGAGAATGATCTCTATACTTTCGGCACATAACATGACCAAAAACCAAAACTGAATTACAAAATTTGTAGTTATGATTGTTAACCATGTGTGCTCGGTATTGAGCGAGAAATCATCAAACATTTTCAAAAAAATGTTTGTCCATTTCATCTCCACAAATCAACCCGCGACTACTACATACGATTCATGAAGAGCAAACAGAACTTTTTTGGACTTGTTACACTTCCTACAAGTACCAACCAAAATGACGAATAAGAGATGAGCCCAACAGCTATGCCGACAATACCCCGATGACAACCTGAAAAAAAAAAGAATATTTGTGATCGGTATGCTCACTCACTACCATTGCTAGCTCCCAAACATTCTTCTAGAGTTTTTTTTGGTTGGAACTTATTGCGGAAATGCATCTCCGTTCACGTATTCCGCAGCCCTTTAGTGCGCTGATGCACAGGTGGAAAACGTCTAGGCTTAGCTCGACCGTTCGACTCTTCCTCACCTTACACCCCTTCCCCCCGTTCCTTCCTCCTCCTTTCCTCCTTTCCTCCCCCCCCCCCCTTCACCCTCCTTCCCTCCCCCTCCCCCCTCCCCGCGGTCAACGTTTTTGGGAGGTGAGTGTCCGGCACTACCACCTCAAGTTTTGCCGGCTAGTGGTAGCTGGGTCCGGCTCCACCCATCGCACCTTTGAGCAGTATGCTGTGAAAAGAAATAGAGCTGAGACGCCTAAATACAAAATCTCATCAAAACACAAAGAAGAATTTGAGTCAGTAATCCTGGTGCATCGGTCTTCTTTGAAAACATTTTGCAACATTTTGAAAGGGCGTTTTTGAAATTA